GTAAAAACTAGCATAGAGTCTATATAATAATATCCATGCCACACTTTGAGTTTTACAGATTCACATACAGATTGTAATTAATTTTTAGTTACTTACCAGGTTAAGATAATGAATTGGCAGTGAATCAAGACCTTTTATAGTCTCAATCTTATTGTGGGCCAGACTTAGGTGTTTCAATCTAGAACATTTCTCTAATCCTTGGATGTCTTTGATATTATTGTCTGAATTCTTAGTTAAGGAAGAATTCTGTTTTTTTAAATTGTAAACTAGGATTTAAAAAAGAGAGAGTAGAATGTGTCAACACTACAGGATGTAAAGTGTTCATAACAAGCTGGATATGTATACCATTTCCTACTATGTGTATTTTGTTCTTAAAGGTACTTATAAAGATCAGGGACAAATTAACCTGAAAATACCAACATTATCCTGATAACTTATTGTCAATTTATTTATTTATTTATTACAAATGATAATATGACAATTCTAAATTTATAACAATAGATCTCTATATCTGATAAGAGAGGGAACTCAAGTTTATATTCTTCAATAATTCTAAATTACTAATTAGAACAGTAAACACTTACTTGTACATTTTTATTGTAATTCATGATGATCTAGTATACATAAATCATCAATTGTATACCACTGTTCACTTTTAAAAATTGCTAGAACACCAATCAATAATAAAGTATTTAAAAAATGCATTTAAAATATGCGCAATGCAGTATAAGTTGCTCCGAAATAAAATAAAAACCTAAGTCTTTATATCATACCAGTACATGTTTGTAATTTTACAATAAAAAGGATACTGTCTAAGTTAAGTTTTGTGAGGTAATGATGAGCAGATAGATCTGTCATCACCTCAATTTCATTGAATGACAGGTCCACATCTTTCAGATTCTTTGGTGGTTTGAAATCTAGCACTGTTGACAGTTTGTTATGAGAGGCATCCAGAATCAACAGAAAAGGCAGGTTGCTCAGTGGGGATAAATCTGTTATTGTAAAATGAAAATGTATATTATGAGGGAAAGACAATAAAAGACGATAACCTCGTAAAATTATGAAAATGATAAACAGTTTTAAACATGCAAAATATATTATTCTTATTTAATAAATGTCTTCAGCTAGATTCTTGTGATCATTATATTTTTAGACAGGCATTTGAATTTCCAGAAAGGACAAGTCATGTTAGTTTGTACAATGAATGTCAACATTATGAAAAAACAAAGATTAGGTGAAATTTCTATAAAATTAAGTTAACATTTTAGTAAACTTGTTCTTTCTTTCATAGAAAATCTTTTTATATGTGTTTATTGAGATGACTAACTACATGTAATAAGCTAACAACAAAGACTCACTGTTGAAAATTCATGGCAATTGTTGTTTTAGAAATGTATGATGAAATGAAAACAAACGAAGAGAGAAACATGAAATCAATACCTGTCAACTGGTTATAAGGAATTTCAATTTTTTGTAGTTCTGTGTAATTTGCAATGGCTTGAATATCTATCAAATTGAAGCCCTGAAAAAAAAATTAAATATATATTTCAATATCATTTGCAATGTTTTATATGTGTAATTGTCATAGAATTAATAATCTGTGAACAAATATATCAGATACAAAAAAAATCACAAAAAAAGAAATAAATAAAAAAAATAAATCAAGTATGTATGCAATGATTCCCAATGAAGCAGGGGCCATATTCATAAAGAATCTTAAGTTTTAAGGGAAGAAAATCCTTAAGTCCAATAATTTCCCTAAGGTAAAATTTCCTTAAAAAGTTCCCTTAAATATCACCTAAGGTGTTTTCTTAGGTAAGAAAAATCTTAAGGGAAAAAAATCCTTAAGTCAAAAATTTCGTTTAAATTTCATCGGTATTTCCGCGTTAACCGACAGGAGTACATGTATTTACAACTTATCATATGATAACATTACTTATCATATGATAACATTAAGTGAATAAATATGAAATGAAAACCCTGAATATAGTTCATTTTATGCAATTTCATCTACTTTACTTTCTCATGATGAAAAATTTTAATCATAGCACAAAATCAGTAGACTTTTGAGATACAAATTCATCTTACAGGTATTGTACAGTGTAGATAAACTTGTTTTGCACCATCTGCTGAACGCCCAAGATTAGACAGACCTCGACCAACTGTCTCCTCATCTAAAATTCCTCCAGGTGAGAGCTGAAATGAAAATATTTTCAAAAGAATATTTTTAAAAACTCATTGAAATATTGTAGTGAAATAATTTTCCCCAGCATTTTAAAATTTCTTTCTTCATACTGAAAAATTCTTCAGAACAGCATCTATCAGTTGTCCTTGTTCAACAAATCAGCGTTAACTTTAACAGCTATCAGGGACCAGCACATTGTAACAAATATATGTAAAATGTCAAAACTCAAGGACAATAAAGCAGCAGGATCTGATGCTATATAAAACCTGTGATACTTTAACAGCTAAGCAACTATATTGCAGGAATCTTTACATTTATTTTCAAAATCTCTTAATCATCTGGCACCATTCACTCTGACTAAATCAAAGCTTTTTTATATTAAGTCTTTTATAACATATTCATTTTCTTAACTTCAACAAAAGTTTCTTTACCAAATGACAGCATAGTAACAGAAATGCATGAATCAGGGATCATTCTGGTCAGGATTTTTAGTGAGAGATTTTCTCTCATTTGAGAAATTTTAATGAGAGAAATTAGATTTTCTTGAGAGATTTAATTTTCATGATGGGCGAGGTTAAAAATATGGAAATTTCTAACTTTTTAAAATCACTGTACATATAAACATTGTTTATCTAATGAGGATATAGATGTAGCTCTGTTTATTACAGTGATTTTTGTTTTCACTTTTTTGATTCACCCTATGCCTTTTCTTTTGTGAATTTTTAAACATAATAAAATTCTAATTGTGAAAAATAAATATAACACTTTCATTCTGAAATATAAAAGAATTATACATGGATATCTACTACAACTATTATTTGCAGCCAATGTTCCTAATGGACAACACTGTACTGTACAGAAGTGATTGTTGAGATTTGAAGAATATTTTTTATAACCTTACATTTTGTTTTCTTTATGATTCTCTTCACACACCTCCCTCCATTAAAAAATGTTCATTGAATATGTGACCTGAACACATAATGACAAATATCTCCATATCCAAGAATAAAAACAATACCTAAAGTAATTTTTATTCATAAACATCATTTTTAGTGTTATAAAACACCTTTGAATAACACTCAGCTTCCTTTACCCCTTTACCTCATATATACGCGAAACAACGGACTTTCGACCCCCCCCCTTTTTTTAGGCCTCAAAGAGTGAAAAAATGTCCTATTTGGGCCCAAACACATGTTTTCGTTTGAGAAATGTTGCTAAAAAAATTGAGCACTTTTTCGGCGCCGCCCCCCCATCCAAAAGATACATCAGGGGGTTGCCAAAAGGGGGATGTGCCCCCTTCTGTTAGGGGGGTTTGAAGGGGGGCGGAGTCCCCCTCATAGCCAAGAATATTTTGGACTTGTGAGAGGCTAAAAATGACCCCAGGTCGATCATAATGTAACATGTAACCAACGCTGAAAAGCCTTTGACTCTATCTCAATCCCTTGAAAAGTTGCAGCACTTTGAAATAAATTTTGATGGAAGAAATCGAGGCAAAATAGTGATTTTTGGCAATTTTGAGATGTCCCCTCGTTGCCATGGTAACAGGAAATTTAAGACTGAGCATGTCGTTACAAAGGCAATGGTCCAGTTAACATTTGTGCCAAGTTTGATTAGTATTGAAGCATTTTTCATAGTTTCATAGCAGTTTGAACTTGTAACAGGAGGCTTTTCAGTGAAAACGGCCATTTTTCACAATATGCTCATGGGGGAAAGGGTTAAGTATTTTTTTTTAATCACGACATCGCGAAAATATGTGACAAATGAATATTTGTCTGTTTTCCGCTGAAACATTCACAATTCTAGCTGTTGCTTATTGCAATTATATAAAATTAAATACTTTTGTTCAATAAAAGAATATTTATTATCGGCTATTTCATCAGGAATCGTAAAACAATTTTTTTAATTTGTTCTTTACGGCAAAATTTACCGTGGTTGATGTGACATTAAGAAGACAAATTTTACCGATATTTGGTTTTGACATGTCCATTTCTATGTTAGTCTGTGTCTAACAACTTTTATTAAAATCAATTAAAAGTGTTTTGTGTAAATTCTCGACTTACAGATAGATAAAGGTTACATTAGTCATCATACTGTATTTCTGTACGTCTCCGATCGGCTATTATTTAAGGCTGTTGGACTACCTTTTGGAGTTTTTTACACCGATTTCATTAATAAACAATTTGAAATTAAATTCTTGATGGGAATCATAAATTTTTCATCATACTTTTGTGTGATTTTAGCATTCTTTAGATTGTGATTAGACATTTTCCGGCTCAAATTGCCGTCATTTCACAAATTTCTCTGAGATTTTGGTGATTTTTTTGCGAGAAATCGCGGAAATCGCCCCCTAGAATGATCCCTGATGAATACTTGATTATTTCCAGGATACTCAATTGTTTCTTAATTCTACTAAACTAGATTCTATTTCTTGTTGAGTACTTCTGTCTTTAGTTTAGCACCAGGTCTAAAGAGAAAGCATATTGGACGATTATTGTGCTAGCTATGAAAATATTTGAACAGAAATGATTGACTGCAATGACTGATCCGTCCACAGCTATTTTTACCATTTTACCAAATAGTACGGGGAAGTCAAAGACCGGGCCCGCGAAGCGGGTCCGGGCTTTGGCTTGCCCGGCTATAGACTACACTTGTATATTTAAAAGAAAATCAAATAAAAAAACATTTTAAAAATATATAGAATTCTATACATATCAATGAAATTTTCAGTGTCAGTTCTAGTCGGGCACCGCCATTTACAATGCAACTCAATGATAAAAGGCGGAGTATTCCGATAACGGAACAAATCTCAACTTTTCGGATAAATAATTTCATATTATTTCTTCAATACATACGTATATCTACATGTAGATATACATGTACATAGTTTTAGTTTCATCGCGATTATGCTCTATGAAGAGTGAGGCGATTACTGAAGATGATGATGATGATGGGTGCATTGTTTGGTTCCCAAGTACGAAGAAAAATAGCCAACTCATAGAGAATATTCAGAGACGTGCAACCCGTATCGTTCCAGAGTTGAAAGGACTTTCTTATTCTGAAAGACTGAAACAACTTAATCTCCCAACGATGCTGTATAGGAGAAAACGGTACGATATGATTGAATTGTATAAACTAATTAATGGTCTAGAAGATTTTGACTGTAAAAAGTTACTCTCGTTCAATGACAATCCCACTTGGGGGCACATATATCGCCTCATCAAACCCCGCTGTGTAAAATCTGTACGCTTAAATGCTTTTCCTGCTCGTGCAATCGACAAATGGAATGACCTGGACGAAACAATAGTTTGTAGCAATAGTGTCAACTCATTTAAGTGTAAATTGGATAAAGCATGGCAGAATCAAAGGTATGACCTGGAAGATATATATTCCTAGACGCGTACTTTTCCGCATGATTTTTTTTCAACCGGAAGCGGAACACCAAATGTAAACATGAGATCGAGGGAGTCAACAAGCACAGAAGTGCTTACAATACTCCAAGGAAACAGTAAGTAAACAAGTAAACATGATGTAGATCTATTTTTGTTTCTTTACAAAATCACTCAGATTACTTCTAAGTTCTAGGGTAAGGGTTATGGGTTCAAAACATAGATTTTGCTGTGGACGGAATTCATAAGTGTTCCCACTGTGATATTTGGTATATAACTTATTAGAAACGACTTGTAAGATGTTTGAAAACTAATCTACCTCAATATCTTCTTCCTCCTCATCTCCAGAACCTGTTCCAGTCAAAATGTCATTCAGTGGTTCAACATCTGCAACTGGACTAACTTCTCGATTTTCTTCGAGGTTTAAAATGTTTGTGTCATAGTTTAGAACATGAGTTTCGCCGTTAATGTGCACAAATCCGTCCTCAACAGCCTGATTATCCATCATTTGCGAACCACCATCCGCCATGTTGTTTACTTGGATACGAAGGGGCGATACTAAACTGCTGACGAATTAGCTGACGATATAGAATATATAGGAAACTGCTGACCAGTTAAACAAAGAAGGATTATCGAAAACTGCTGACCAGTTAGATAAAGAAGGGAAAACAATGAAGGTGTCAAATTGCCGTTGGTGATATTACAGGCGAGGTCGAGAAATACTTGATAAAATGTTTTTCAAGATGTCAATATTACAAATGATACATATTAATTATAAAAATTTCAATTGATATATACTGTATATTTCTCAATTTCTTTTGATATAATATTTTATTTAAGTACTTTAATGAATTTTCTTCTATGTGTTATATATTGGTTAAAATTTTAAAAATGGAGTCAAAATATAATGTACGAAAAATCATAATTTGTTTCAAGTATGTATAAAACTATGCATCATAGGTTAAAATATATACATGTACATATACGTAATGTATATTTTAACAAAATATAATTATTATGTCGTATTTAGTGCAAATATGAAATAAAGTGATTTCTGTTTGCTTATTTGTTGTTCGTATAATTGTATAAGTAATATTTAACAAAAATTAATAATGTGCTAATTGTTATAGTTAATAAGCTTTTATTACATTATAAACAACATGTTTCTACAGATATCCATTAAACTGATAATTTATCGAGATCGATATGCACCAAGGTCATATTAAAATCGATTTCACACGCGACGTGTCATTCTTGATTTATCTATGACAAAATACAATAAACAGTCAAAAATATGTTATTAAAATGCTGACCATATTGTAGAATCTGCTGACCAGTTAGATATATAGAGAAAAATATATTTTGCTACGAAATTGTTACTCATTATGCAAATTTAATATATTTTATAAAATAATGTCGACATTTGGAGTGGTCACGTGGTTAAATGGCGCTCGGTTATGAATTCAAAATACGCTTCAAAAAATATTAATTTTGATTAATTTGTTGGATTTAAAAGTGGAAATTTCTACACATTTGGATATATGTTGTTTTCATTAAGTTTCTGATTAGGTATATGATAAAATCTAGTCGTTTAAGGATTTATATCGGTAAAATCGTGCGATTTTGTTGAGTTGATCGAGTAAACAAAGAAGTTGATATCTCTTTGTTGTGATTGAACAGTCAGATATGATGTGATGTGATGTGATTTACTTTAAAGGGAAATGTCAACGTGGTAGAAAATCAATATTATTTTATCCTGGGATATTTATAAATGATAAAAAGTGGATTTAAATGGCCAGCAGTGATGAAAATAGGATTTTAGAGAAAAAAAGAAAGGCAAGTGACAGTTCTGCGAATATCATAGTTGAAAGCAAATCTGGACGTTTTACACGAACACCAGAACACGTAACTGTAAGTAACATTTTAAAAGAAACCAATTCTGTGCTATTTGATGAAAATGATGCCCACGAAGTTTTAAATTTGAATAAGCTTTTCGATGATCCAGATGTTTCAGTGACTCAAAATAGCATACACTTGGGTGATTCTATACCTGTAAATATGGATATACCGGCAAATAAATCTCCTTCAAATGCAGACTTAATGAAATTGTTGGAGAAAATTGATAATCGTTTGTTTACTGTTGAAGAGAAATTGGGATCGTTAAAATCACTTGAGGTCAAAGTTGACAAATTTGAAAAGGAAATGTCAAAGCTATGGACACTTATACATGACGATAAAGTTCAGACTGCCAATAGAATTAGTACTGTAGAGGAAAGAGTAGAAAGTGCAGATTTTAATTTGAGCATTGTTTCATCCAAAGTACAGGAGCTGGAAACTAAAAATAAACAACTAAATGATGAACTTCTTTATGTACAATCGCAATCAATGCGTAACAACATAGTGTTCGGTAATATAGAGGAGGCCCTCCCAGGGGAAACAGAAAATGCAGAATCTGTAGTGCGTGACTTCTTAGTCAGTAAGATGAAATTGGCTAGTGATTTGGTTAGTGAAATGAAATTTGAACGTATTCATAGAATGGGCGAGAAAAGACCGGGAAAAAATCGACCGATTGTAGCAAAATTCAACTTATTTAAGGAGCGCGAGCTTGTAAGAAGGGCTGGTAGTGCACTTAAAAGTACACCATACTTTATCCATGAACAGTTCCCGAAGGAAGTATCTGAAAAACGTAGAAAACTCGTACCCAAGATGAAGGAGGCGCGGGACAAGGGGTCAAGAGCCTGGATCTCTTACGACACTTTGTTCATTGACGGGAAACCTTTCAAGGACAGCGCCAACTAGAGGTACGCCGGGGATGATCTGAGTGTGCTATCGTGGAATATTAATGGACTGACTGATGATAAAAAATGTAATAAGGACTTTATTTCTATCTTAAATAAATATAATATAGTGTTTTTGTATGAGACATGGACAAATCAAAAAAGTAATATTGAATTAAACGGATATGTCTCTTTTAACTTTTATAGAAAGTTTCAGCATCGTAATGCACGGAGATCAAGTGGTGGGGTTGCAGTTTACTATCATGAATCTTTGAAAGACGGTATTCAAATTATACGCACTCACTATGACACAATTGTATGGTTAAAACTAGATAAAACCTTCTTTAAATTTGAATCAGATGTATATATTGGTGGTATTTATTTATGGTGTGACGATTCTCCTGCGTACACAGTGTATAATGTAGATCTTTTTGAAATTATTGAAAATGATATTTTTGAATTTGATAATGATGGTGATATTTATTTAGTCGGAGACTGGAATAGTCGTGTTGGCATCAAACATGATTATGTGGTATTTGACACGTTGAATGATGAACTAGATTTAAAGGATTATGTAGCAGATGAACCCCTAGCTCGGGCCTCTACAGATAAAACATGTAACACGTTTGGTAATCGTTTACTTGATCTTTGCAAAAGCACGGGAATTCGAATAGTTAACGGTCGTTTATTCAGTGATCATATGATCGGTAATTGCACGTATTTCTCGAGGCTAGGGTCGTCTGTTATTGACTATTTATTAACAAAACCTGGTAATTTTTCAAGCCTGAGCGATTTTATTATTCATGATTTTAACGAATGGAGTGACCACTGTCCTATTTCTTTTAGTTTACATTGTAATATTGTTATTGAAAATTGTATTTATGATAATGAAACTTTTGTTAACTATAGATGGTCTGCAGATTTGAAAAATCATTTTAGATCAAGTCTTATAACAAAATTACTTCTTTTAAATAATGTGACTAGTAATATCGATTTGCAAAATAGATCGTCAATAAATAATATGTTGTTAAATTTTACGTCTATTATTCATGATGTAACGGATCCGTTATTTCGTCAAAATGTTACTATTAAAAAAGCTGTCTCGTTTAGCCAGACAAATATTGTTAATAACAAGTCATGGTTTGACCGTGAATGTGAACAGTCTAGGCAGTTGTATATAGATGCTTTGTCAAAATTTAACCGTTTTAAATCTCCAACAAATAGGGAACAATTATGCTTGTTAAAGGCTAAGTATAAGGCTATAATGAGGAGAAAACGAAATTGTTATAACCTCAAGCAAGTTAAGGAAATTGAAAATTTAAGGTTGTCAAAACCAAAGGAGTTTTGGAAATATTTTAAAAGAAAAAATGTTGTTTCTAATAATCTTTCCCTAGAGTCATTTTTCAAATATTTTTCTGAACTAGGAAATGATATATTTCAAAATGTTAATGTTGAATCTGAGGATTTTGCCTCAACTCATGATTTCAATTTTAGTGATGATGCTGATGACTTTTTAGATCGACCAATATCTGTTAATGAAATTATAGATGCTGTCAATTCCTTGAAACGAGGAAAGGCTTACGGACACGATTTTCTATTGAATGAATATTTTATTGAGTCGATTGATATATTGTCTTCACATTTATGTGATATATTTAATAAAATACTTGATAGCGGGTATTTTCCAGATAATTGGACTGAAGGAGTAATAATTCCTTTGCATAAAAAGGGAGATAAGAATGAGGTAAATAATTATAGAGGCATAACTTTAGTTAGCTGTATGTCAAAAATATTTACATCTATTATAAATAAAAGAATTTATAGCTATTGTGAAGAAAATTGTTTACTGTCAGATGCCCAGTTTGGGTTTAGAAAAGGCAAATCTACTGTTGATGCTTTATTTGTGTTATCATCTATTGTTCAGAAATATATTAACGACAATAAACGTTTGTATTGCGTATTTGTTGACTTTAAAAAGGCTTTGACAGTGTTTATAGAAATGCACTTTGGTTAAAATTACATAAATCAGGTATTAGGGGTAAATTATTGCGTATTGTTAAGGATATGTACAATAAAGTTAAATCATGTATTAAAGTGTGTAATAGTTATTCAGAGTTTTTCGAATATGCTGTAGGCTTACGTCAAGGGGAGATAATTTCGCCGGTTTTATTTTCTCTTTTTATTGATGACATTGAGTTATTTTTGCAGCATGATATAAATTGTGGTTTACAGTTAAATGATATCATTTTAATATTGTTGCTTTTTGCAGACGATATGGCCATTCTAGGCAATTCACCTGAGGAAATAAACAATAGTTTAGTTTTATTACATAATTACTGTACAAAGTGGAGTCTAGAGGTTAATGTAGATAAGACTAAAGTTATGGTTTTTAGGAAGAGAGGTGGTTTGTTGTCCTCTGAAAATTTTTTGTATAATGACAAACGTCTAGAGGTTGTAAATGATTTCAATTATTTAGGTACAGTTTTCAATTATACTGGTAATTTTGCATTAAACCAAGAACAGCTTGTTGGTAAAGCTTTGAAAGCGTTAAATGTATTACTGATAAACTGTAATAAATATAAACTGAAACCGAAGTTATTATGCCAGCTTTTTGACTCTTTTGTTGGATCAATCTTAAATTATGCAGCTGAGATTTGGGGCCACAGTAAGTCTAAAGAAATTGAAAGAATACATCTAAAGTTTTGTAAAAGAATATTAAATGTAAATATAAGAACTTCAAATGCAGCAGTTTATGGTGAACTTGCTC